AGAGAAAAAAAAAAGAAAAGAGAGACAGACAGAGAGAGAGAGAGAGAGAGAGAGAGAGAGAGAGAGAAAGACAGAGACAGGGAGAGAGAGAAAAAAGACAGAAAGAGACAGGGAGGGAAGGGAAAAAAGAAAATAAAGAAATAGAGACAGACAGACAGACAGAGACAGCGAGGGTGAGAGAAAAATAGGGAAAGAGAAACAGAAAGGGAGAAAGAACCAGAGTAAATGATAAAACGAAAGGAGAAAGAAAGAAGAGAGAGAGAGATGAATACCAAAACATATAACATCTCGACTACATTCCTTCACTTTCTCCTATCCATTCTTTCCAGTACAGCATTACCGTACACCTCTATGCATGTATGTATGTACAGGAAGGCACCCCAGCGTGTGTGTAGACTCCATATGTACGAGAGTGTTCATGTGAGCGTATTTACATTCATTTATATGCAGGCAAAAAGAACACTGGCAACAGTTTCTTAAATATTCTCAGCGTCTTAAAAACATTACATAAATATGCATGTAGAAGGTCCTCTCATTTCACGTGTGTGTGTTTGTCGGGGTTTCAGAGAATGTAAGGGCACTAAACTCCACAGATTTCAGGGATCAAAGGTGAGCGAATTTGTTTTTCTTCTTATTATTATTTTTTTAAGGTCTCTCGTTTTCTCTCTTTCTTTTCTTCTCTCTTTCTCACTCTCTCTCATTTTTCTGCTTCTCTAATCTCTCTGTCTCTGTCTGTCTGTCTGTCTGTCTGTCTGTCTGTCTGTCTGTCTGTCTGTCTGTCTGTCTGTCTGTCTGTCTGTCTCTCTCTCTCTCTCTCTCTCTCTCTCTCTCTCTCTCTCTCTCTCTCTCTCTCTCTCTATGTATCTATCTATCTCACCCCCCTCTCTCTCTCTTTATCTATCTATCTTTATCTACTAATCTCTATATATCTATCTATGTCACCCCCTCTCGCTATTTATCTATCTATCAATCTATCTATCTCTATCTCTATATCTATATATCTCACCCCTCTCTATATCTATCTATCATTTTTTTTTTTTTTTTTTTTTTTTTTTTTTTTTTTTTTGAGCGCTGGCAGGGGGTATGACACACACGCATCTGTCAGCCCCGGCCGTGACAAGGTTTCATCAAAGTGCAGTTTGTCTCAACCGGTGGGCGCGGGCGTAATCTCGTCCATTTAAAACCAAAGCCCCGTGTACAAGCCCGAACCACCGATGTCCTGCCAATTTCACATGGATGAAAGGGCTGAGTTCTAGCATTCTGGTAGAGCTGATGGAACTCTGGCTGGGGCTGGTCTTATATTCTGTTTTGGTCTTTTTACAGTCTGGTTTTGTAGGTTTTGTTGTTTTTTTGTGTTGTTGTTTTGTCGTCTTTTTGGTCTTTACTGTTTGTTTGTTTGGTCTGGTTCGTTGGATGTCTATTTGTTATTATTCATCTATGTATTGAGCTAGCTATGTATTGTCTGATTGTCTGTCTTCTATCTGGTTATCTATCTACTTTGTGTTTACTATCTATCTGTCTCACCCTTCGACTATTCTTCTATTCTCTTTCCCTTCTTTCTCCCCTCTCCTTTCCTTTCCTCCTCTCTCTTCCACTTCCCTCCATTCTATTCACCTTTCCTTTCTTTCCCTTTTCTCTCCCTCCCTATAACGTTTCATTCCCCTCCTCCCCCACCTCTCTCCCCCTCCCTCCCTCCTCCCCCCCCCTCATCTCTCTAATTTCTTATGAATGAAACACCGCGGATGTTGTTTACACGTGATCTCGTGATGGACACACTAAGTAAATAAACAAGACGAGATTCTTTGACTTTTATCTAAGACCAAGATGCCCGTGAGAGGCTAGTTGTGATTGGCTGGAAACGTTGCACTATTTTTAAGTAATTATTATCATGAACACGTGATGGGAACACTAAGTAAATAAACGGAAAACGAGATTCACTTATTCTTATGTAAGGGTAGGATGACTTTAAGAGGTTTGTTATAATTGGGTGAAAGAACAGTAGGTGTTTTAGATAGTCATTATTATCAACACGTGATAGGAACAGTGAGTAAACAAACAGAAGATTCGGTTATTTATTTATACATTTATTTATTCTTTTTTTATTATCTAAGACGAAGATGGTTGGTTACAATTGTGTGAAAATGAAGCGTGTATTTTAAATCATTATTATCATCAACGTGCCAGTTATCAATTGATTATGAAAGAAAAATTAACATAACCTCAGCTTTGAACCTTCCTTATTCACTTACGCAACTATCTTAATTAAACCAGTTGTAAATAAAAGAAAAAAAAATAATCTAGCTACTAATCCTAACACAAAAGCCGTTAAGGATAACTCTTTTGGTTTATTTGATTAATTTAGATTGTATAAGATACAGGATTTCCGATAACATATCATGATTTTTTTTTTTTTTCATCATGCTTTTCATTTCGACTTGCAGGAATTTTCAGACTTAAACGCTACATTTACAAGGGCAGTAATTGAGTTGTTAACATGAAGGTGACGGTAATTAATTAGCTCGTTAGAGACAATTAACCGGATAACTTTTATCTGTAGGACTTGCTGCAAGTGACAGAAGCAAGGAATGCACAATTCACTCTCGGACGTGGCTCGTGTCTCTTCTGTGTGTGTGGTGTGTGAGTGTGTGTGTGCGTGTGTGTGTGTGTGTGTGTGTGTGTGTGTGTGTGTGTGTGTGTGTGCGTGTGTGCGTGTGTATCGTGTGTGTGTGTGTGTGTGTGTGTGTGTTGTGTGTGTGTGTGTGTGCATTTATATATATCACAGCAGAATATATATGAGAGCAAGGTGCGCTCACCGCCGTAGGCCTCATCTTCATCCTGGAGTTATTCAAGAACAGCGACTGACTTTCCCTTACTCTTTCCCTCTGCCCTTTAGCCCTTTACCCCCTCCCCTTCCGCCCCCCTACACCCCTTCCTCCCTACCCACGTCTGCTACCCAACCACCCACCTCCCTTCCTCCCTATCCCTACCCCTTACGCCCTACCCACTCTGCTACCAACCCACCCTCTTCCCTCCGCCCCACCCCACACCCTTTCCTCCCCACCCCAACCCTTCCACCCTACCCCCACCCCAACCTTTCCTCCCTAACCCCCCATCCCTAACCCTTCCGCCTTACCTCCCCATCCATACCCCTTCCACCTACCCTCCCCACCTCAACCCCTTCACCCATCCCAACCCTCTTCCGCCCAACCCCCCCCCCTTCCTACCCCGTCACCCAGGGAATAAGGGGAAGCCTCGGATGGGAAAAGTTACTCCACTTCCTCCGGCCTCTTCCTAAAGTGGATAGGACCTTGTGGCTCCACATTATCCCGCTTTCACCTATGTGACCTTTTCCGGCCGGGGCTCGGGGCTAGGGGCTCGAGACTAGGGGACTCTGGGGCTCTGGGGGTAGGGGGTTAGGGGGCTAGGATGCTCGGGACTAGGGCTAGAGGGTTAGGGGGTAGGGGATTAGGGGGCAGGGGACTAGGGGCTGTAGGCTAGGGGCTAGGGGGTTAGGGGGCTCTAGGGGCTCGGGGATACCTGGGGGGGTGACATCTCTCTTTCGTTATCTTCTTATGCCAATAACAGTGGTTTCCGGGAATTTTTCTTCCGTTGATTTCTCTCGGGGTTTTGTTGTTCCTTTTTTGTTTTGAGGATTTTGGGGGATTTTTTTTTCCATAGGTTTTTTTATTGATTGATTTATTTTTATTTATCTATTTATTTATTTTTGCTAAGGAGTTTTGTTAACTTGTTTTTTTTATAGATTTCTTTTCTTTTAGCTCAGGTGTTTTGTTTGTGTGTGTGTCTGTGTTGTATCGGAATTTGAAGTGAATATAAGGGGCTTGTGTAACAGGTGGACTGTCATCTGCGGTCCTTTCATCTGTTGCATTTGTAATGATATTATGCCAATGCTTCCTACATTTTTTTTTTTTTTTTTTTTTTGTATTTTCTTCTGCTTATCTATTCGCTTTTTTCTTCCTCCCTTCTTCAGTGCTTCTCTCTTTTAACCACCTCCCCTCTTTATTTTTTTGTACCTTCTATTTTTTTTTTCTTTTTTTCTTTTTTCTTCTCTTCTCTTTTCATGTCTCTCCCTTCTTCCCTAATCTCTCTCTCTCTCTCTCTCACAAACAACACACACACACACACTCGCTCTCTCACTCTCTCTCTCTCTCTCTCTCTCTCTCTCTCTCTTCTCTCTCTCTCTCTCTCTCTCTCTCTCTCTTCTCTCTCTCTCTCTCTCTCTCTCTCTCTCTCTCTCCTCTCTCTCTCTTCTCTCTCTCTCTCTCTCTCTCTCTCTCTCTCTCTCTCTCTCTCTCTCTCTCTCTCTCTCTCTCTCTCTCTCTCTTCTCTCTCTCTCTCTCCTCTCTCTCTCTCTCTCTCTCTCTCTCTCAGTCTCACTCTCTCATTCCCTCCAGACTTGGTCCCTTCCCCGCAACTTTCTCAGGAACTTTCCAACTCTCGTCCTCTCTCCTCCCCCCTCCCCCCTTACCCCTTCCCCATCCCACCGTGGTCTCCCCATACATGAAACCAGATACCAAATCCTTTAAACCGAAACACTTTACACACACTCCATAACTCTCCTGGTAAGTACTCCTGGACTCGCTATGGGCAGGCAGGTAGTCTGTGCGTATCTCTCCCTTTCTCTCTCTATCTTTTGTTTCAATTTTTCTCCATCATTCTCTCATTCGTTGCGTTTTGAGTTATTTTTTTTTTCTTCTCTCTCTCTCTCTTCTTTCTGATCTTTTGTCTCTGATTTCGACTTTTTCTTGCTTTCTCTTTCTTCTCTCTCCTCTCTCTCTCTCCTCTCCTCCTTCCCTCTCCCTTTCCCCACTCCCTTCACCCTCTCCTTTTCCCTCTCCCCTCCCCCCTTCAACCCCTCTCCTCTCCCCCTTCTCCCTCTCCTCCCCCTCCCTCCCTCCAACTCCTCTCCCCACCACCCCCTCCTCTCCCTCCATCCCTCCCCTTATCTCCCTCCCCCTCGTTCCCCTCCTAACACAACTCACCGGTATAGTACATCTGCCTTGCCATCGACGGGCAGTTGAGTTGACGTCCGTTGGTGAAGTCGATGTTCGTGCGCAGGGGTCGGTGGTACATCTGCTGTATTGGCCTGAAGTTGTTGACCATCTTGGCCTTGGGAGATGCCTTGGTGCCTTGGTGCAGCTTCCGGAGGACGTGTAGCTATGGGAGGAGAGATGGGGTGAGGGAGGGGGGAGTCGTGGGGGTGCGGGTTGGGGGGGAAGAAAGCGTGGAGAGAGAGGGGGAGGGAGAGGGGAGAGGGAGAACGAGAGGTAGGTCGGTGATAGACAGATAGGATAGGTAGATAGACAGGCAGAGAAATGGATAGATAGATAGAGAGAGCGAAAAAAAATGGATTGTGGATATAGATTTTTTTTTTTTTTTTTTTTATAAAAGAAAATAAAAAGTATTACAGTGTGTACAGGAGAGTGAGACTGAGACTGAGAGAGAGAGAGAGAGAGAGAGAGAAGAGAGAGAGAGAGAGAGAGAGAGAGAGAGAGAGAGAGAGAGAGAGAGAGAGAGAGAGAGAGAGAGAGAGAGAGAGGGAGAAAGAGAGAGAGAGAGAGAGAGAGAGAGAGAGAGAGAGAGAGAGAGCATAAACCTGAATATTTAATGTGCGCAGACCATCCTTGACTAGACGTCTGCATTAGGGTGAACAAAGGGTAGATTACGTAATGGACACATTACACCAATGATAACTGGTATCACATGCCTATGATGTATGTGTTAGTCTGAGTGTGTGTGTGTGTTTGTGTGAGTGTGTGTGTATGCCACGTACTGGCTACTGTTTTGAATATGATCACCCTTTAAAGATTATTTTATCTGATAGAATTATAATTCTATTAGATTGTTTTTTACTACAGATTTTAAAGTGTTTTCGCTAATGATATCTACTTTGGCTCAACTGACACCATTTTGTCTTCTTCAAAATTTCAATCATGAAAGGATTTAGACATCAAAAGAAAATCCTCATCAACTCTTATAATATTACTGTACAATAAGCGAGCACCGGACGACAGAAAATACCAAGCTGACAAACTTTCCATGACCTTTTGATGTCAATCGAATTGTTGAAACAAAGAGAAGTTCTGCTATGAATCCAAAATATGTTGAAAATTCATAATGTCATTTAATTCGACTTTATCAATCTGATTTCGCTTTTTAAATCAGATGCCGAGATTCAGGGAGATTATATGCTGTAATCTCGATGGCATGGGGGAGGTAATTCACTTATTAATTCGATAGGATGAGAGGGAGAGTATGTTTAGGTACGGACGTGTGGGAGGGAGGCGTTCTAAGTTTACGTGTATGGGCGTGTGGAAACATTGTTGTTTGTTTTTTGGATGTGTGTGTGCGTGTGTGCGTGTGTGTGTGTGTGTGTGTGTGTGTGTGTGTGTTGTGTGTGGTGTGTGTGTGTGTGTGTGTGTGTGTGTGTGTGTGTGTGTGTGTGTGTGTGTGTGTGTGGTGTTGTGTGTGTGTGTGTGTGTGTGTGTGTTTGTGTGTGAGTCAGTGTGTACTTTATATATATATTTATGACGGAATATAAACTGAATTTATTAATTAAGAAAGAAGGAATGGAAGATAATTGAAGAAAGGAGACAGTCAAAAAGGAATATAATTCAAAGAGTAAAGAAGAAAATCAAGAGTAATACGACAAAAAAGTAAGCTAAAAGAAATACTTGACTAAAAACAAAAAATCCTGAAACCAATTCAAGCAACTGAATCAACCCGCACAAAAGTCTACGGTGTAAAACCCACGTTTCACTACCCAACCCCTACCGCCGTGTCCATCAGACGAACCTGTTGTTTGGTGATATAGATCGGCTTATTGAGAACAACCCAGGTCACGGTCTCATGGCACGGAGGCTGTGTTAGGGAGCCTTCATAGGTCATGTAGTTCTCCGTCGAGGGCAGCAAGCCACGGACAGACAGCCGCTCGACAGGAGCCCAACTCCCAGCGTAACGAATCTTCTCCATGGCGTCCGTCAGAATCCGCAGTTCGGGGTTGCCTTGGGTCGAGACCTGTGGGAGGAGGAAGAGCAGCGGATGTGAAGATGGTAGAAGGTCAATTTGTTTCCTGTGGAGAGATGCATATAATATTATCTTTATTGTACATTAATAAGTACATTTAGATGAATAGTGAGGGTATAAAAAAAATGAATTAAGAATGTGAAGAAAGATGATATATATACCATATATATATATATAATATATATTNAGGTTGAAGTGGGAGTGAATAAATATGGTTGGATGCATGAATAAGTGTGTGGATGCATGAATAAGTATGTGGATGCATGAATAAGTGTGTGGATGCATGAATAAATGAGTGAATGGATGAATAAGCGAGTGAATTAGTGAAAAAGTGAATGAATAAGTGAGTAAGTGAACGGTTAAGTGAATATATGAATGCACAATGAAGTGAGTGAACGAATAAGTAAGTTGGATGAGTCAATGAGTCAACGAGTAAGCAACGAGTGATGAACAAAGAGCTAAGAGACGGCGAATAAAGGAAATACTGAGGAAAAAATGTCAGAGAATGAGAGGAATAGACGCAACAGAAACGCGTTTTCATCCGCTTATCATCCGTTTCACTCGCAAGTGGGTGAGTGAGGAGTGAGGAGTGAGAGGGAGAGGGTGAGAGAGAGTGAAACGTCACAACACACACCACACACACACACACACACACACCACACATACAACACACACACACACACACACACACAACACACACGCATACAACACACATACACACACACGTAGATACATACATACAGGCATGTGAGTGCATTATATGTGTGTGTGTGTGTGTGTGTGTGTGTGTGTGTGTGTGGTGTTGTGTGTGTGTGTGTGTGTGTGTGTGTGTGGGTGTGGTGTGTGTGTACTGTGTACGTGCGTGTGGTGGTGTGCGGTGTGTGCGTGTGTGTGCGTGTGTGTGTGTGCGTGTGTGGTGTGTGTACTGGCGTGGGCGTGTGCGTGTGCGTGTGTGTATGCATGCGTGTGCGTGTGCGTGTGTGTGTATGCGTGTGTGTCTGTGCGTGTATACATACACGCATAGCATACATGCAAACAGACTACAAACCTGAAAATGAAATAAAAAATAATTCCAACGTAGTTTTATCAACAGACCGCAAAAACCTCATAACCATCCCCCCCCCTCCCTCCCTACCCCCCCCTCCGAAAAAAAAAAAAAAAAAAAACTGAAATCCCGGAGAAAATCACACGTTAGATTCCACTCCCACGCCATCGGACGAGGGAGACTGCGCCGCCCATACACACAGGATCGGGCGCGGGCGTTTGCCGACATGACGGGGGGGGGGGCGGCCCATAAATCCGGCGGAAAAGAGCTGCGAAGGGGCGGCCGGGAAGCCAAGCGCAGGGTGGACGCCTCCTTGCATAGTGCTCGTGAAGGGGGGGGGGGGGGGGGGTTGCTAAGGCTGGGTACTATGACCGGCAAAAAAATATGTACTGAGAGAGAGAGAAATATACTGCCGGGAAGATATACTGACTGAGAGAGAGAGATATATATATACTGATCAGAAAAGGCGTACTGGCGGAGATTTACATTGGCAGAGAGACATACCGAAGGGAAAACATACTGACGGAGATGTATACTGACAGAAAGACGCGAGAATAGAGACATATTGTGCGCAGAAAGACACCCTGATAGAGATATATGAACAGAAAAGACATCTTAACAAAAACCTCAACTCAGTGACATATAAACAAGCACACAGCAAGACTCTGACCAAAAATAATCAATTCACAGAGCAGGATTATGGCCGTCTCGAAGACAAGGCAAAAATAATCAATGCACCGTACAAGAAGTATTGAGAAACGGAGACAAGAGGCCATCAATAATTAGAAGCGCTAGACAAGTAGGAATCATAAACGGAGAAGCCTAGCACCGGACTCGCAGGATCTATAAACAAAGAAGCCCTAAAAAACAATAAATAACAGTACTTATAAAGCCAAAAGCCAAAAATAACCAAGCATGAAAAAAAACACAATAAATAACAGTACTTATAAAGCCAAAATGCCAAAAATAACCGAACAAGCGTTAATCTAGAATTCACACAACGCACAAACAGGCTTCTCACACACACACGCACGCGAGAGGCCTTATAGACACCTCCACTCCAATACCCCCCTCCCCCCTCCATCCCCTCCCTCCTCCGTCCTCCATCCCCCCTCCCTCCTCCGCCCTCCATCCCCCCTCCTCCGCCCTCCATCCCCCCTCCTCCGCCCTCCATCCCCCTCCCCCCTCCTCCGCCCTCCTCCCCCTCCCCCCCCTCCCCCTCATCCCCCTCCTCCGCCCTCCACCCCCCCTCCCCCCTCCTCCCCCTCCTCCGCCCTCCATCTCCCCCTCCCCCCTCCTCCGCCTCCATCCCCAAGCCCAGCGCCTTCGTTAGAGCCAGAGGGGAGAGCAGAACACGTTGTCATCACGTCAGGGGAGAAGTGGCGTGTTGTGTAGCATGAGAGGGGAATTATCTACGGTGGTCCGGGACGTCTAGACTCGAGAACGTGATGTGGGGGAGGGTGGGTGGGTGGGGGTGAGGAGTGGGGGCGCGAGAGAGAAGGGAAGGAACCGTGCAGGATTTAGGCGTGGGGAGGATGCAGAAGGGTGGGTTTGTTAGGGTTGTAGGGGTTGTAGGGTTGTAGGGTATAGAGGGGGGTTGGGAGTGTGGTAGTTATGGAGCGTATAGGAAGACTTGAAAGAAGAATTAGCATATGGATAACACACATACACACACACACACACACACACACACACACACACACACACACACACACACACACACACACACACACACACACACACAATACATATAATATATATATATATTATATAGTATATATGTTTTTTTCTATTTCCTCATTCTACTCATTCTATTCCTATGCGAAAAGTGATAATTAATAGATAGACACATAAGTAAACAACAATACACAAACGAAAACCGAAGATTAAAGAAAGCATTGAGAGAAACATGAGGGTGGAGAGGGGGTGGAATAGGAATAGGGTGGATAGGGGTAGGAGAGGGGAATAGGCGAACGGAGAGAGGAGAAGAAGGGAAGGTATAAGGGTACAAGGAATAAGGGAAAGCGAGTGAGGGGTGAACGCGACGAGGAGAAGGGTGATAGCGTGCAAAGAGTGAGGGCGAAAGGGGTGAGGGTGAGGGAAGCGGAGGACACCGTACAAGCAGTATTGAGAAACGGAGACAAGAGGCCATCAATAATTAAAAGCGCTGGACAAGTAGGAATCATAAACGGAGAAGCCTAGAACGGACGAACAGGATGTATAAACAAAGAAGACGCCAAAAAACAAATGCACTAAATAAAAGCCAAAAAGAAACCATATAAAAAACACAATAAATAACAGTACTATAAAAAAGCCAAGACGCCAAAAATAAAACCAAGCCATAAAAAAACAATAAATAACAGTACTTATAAAAGCCAAACGCCAAAAATAACCAAGCCATAAAAAAACACATTAAAAAACAGTACTTAATAAAGCCAAATGACAAAAATAACCGAACCATAAAAAAACACAATAAATAACAGTACTTATAAAGCCAAAATGCCAAAAATAACCGAACCATAAAAAAACACAATAAATAACAGTACTTATGAAGCCAAAATGCCAAAAATAACCGAACCACACCGTAAAAGCGTTAATCTAGAATTCACACTACGCACAAACAGGCTTCTCACACAC